ATACAATTAAACATTCTAGAATTAACACATTCTATGGTCTGCCCATTCTAAGTCATTGTTAACCTGACAAGTGTGAAGTATACTCTATACTTCATCTACAATACTTGACAGTACTTGGACACCTTTTAGCTCGAGACGTTTTTTGATTGAGTTAAGAATTAAAACAACTCAATTAATTTACTTAGATTAAAAGCTTTGAAATCTAAAACTTTTTCAGGAAATAAATTTAAGTAGCTGCAGGCTAAAATAATGTTTGCTCCGTTAAAAAAAATTGTTAATTGAAACGTGGCTGGTTATATTCAGATAGAGAAATGACGCATTTCAATTTTCATGGGCAAAATTATTCTTGACCACTCCCATACTCTTGTTTAAATCCGTAGCTACCCTGAAAAAATTATGACATCCAACAAATTCCATTACTAATTACCAGACACCATTGTCCATTCGGAGATATTACTAGGACCTCTGAACAATTAAGTCTTGCTACGGACTTACATGTATTGGATCTCGCATAATATACCTTACACAATTTCGTAATCACAAGCCTTCGCATATAAATTTATGTATAATTCATTTTCTATAAATAACATTAATTTGTTACTGGTTGTTTACAATTTGTTAAATAGATCACGCTTTGTTCACAACGTTTGTACGATTAGTTCATAATATGATACGGTTTGTTCACTTGGTACGATTAGTTCACGATCGGTTAAATCATCGTTTGTGTATAGGCATGGACTATCTTATTTGCTCGATTAAATGAAAAAAAAAAGGGTGATTTGCCTGCATTGTGATAAAATTCAGTCTATAGGGTCTTGCTGTATTTAGCATCTCAAGCTAGGCTTCCTTAGCTTGAATTTCGTAGGTTCATTTTCTGGCCGGTCAAATACTATGCGCTCAATGGGGTTTAGGATAAGATCGTATGAAGAATGGTCGCCTAAATTGAAATGATTTGTTCTCGATTTGTTACAGTTAGTTCTCGATTTGTTATGCCTAGTTTCTGATTAGGCAATCATTATCCTTGTCATCTTGGTATAAATTCTTCAATTAATAAACCAGACACATTTCTAAACTTCCAACATTTCTTTTGTATCCAACTCTTATGTGAGCTTCCCACGACCACAATAATTGGCTATTCGTAGCTGGTCGTGGAATATCTCTTAAATTCCAGGTTGCGATACGAGTCAATACGTTTGTTGTGCTCGTATGGGCTATGATCTGTTCACGAGTTTTCAATTCTCGGTGTTACGGTATGATCGTTGGTTTAGATGGATCTGAGACGATCATCGCAATCAGTTTCCTCGAATAGAGACGTTCCGATGCGTTCATCAATAACCGATAAATTCCATCACATAAAGATACGATTTTGTATGCGATGTCTTTTACGATCATGATCGAGATGCGATTTGAGCTACGACTGGACCCGATGGGTGTATACACAGAACAACTTATTACGGTGTTCATTTTTTCTTGAACTTTTATCCTATGTTCCACCTATCATGATTAACAGCACGATTGCCGTCCAGTCTTAATCGTGTAATAATCGTGATAATCCTTATCAGATCATGAAATCGGTCGAAGCAATATTGTTAATCGTGGAAATCAACAATTTTCTTCGATCAACACGATCATTATCAATTGGGATCATTGTATTAGATAGTATTTCATCGTAACAAATTGCGTATTGCATATAATGGATTTCCAACTCGTAGTTATCGGGGTCGATCTAAGACAATACTCGATGGGGGACCAATGCGAAACAGTCCTTTCGGATCATGATCGTTTTGCGTACTACTTTGCATCTGAATTGAAGATCAAAACATGACTGAAACAGTACGATCTGATACGTTAATCCCGATTTACACAGATCGTGTTCATTGTAGAATTTTATCACACAATTGCCACGCCGAACTCAAGATCTGACAAGTTAATCACGACAGTCTACGATTTAAACCGCAAAACAAATCGTGATAGTGGAAACCTAGCATTACCACAAAGATCTAAGTATCAAAAAATATCTTTTTATTCATTGTTTAGGGTTCGTTGCCAATTTTGTACGTAAGCTCTTCGATTGCGGAAAGCTAGGTCGATATTTACTCCAAATTTGAATCACCACTGTTCAAGGGACAGATGCTATTTTTGACCAATCATACTTTAGTCTCAGAAACGGGATTTTTGTGCTAAGCCAAACAGTAATAGGAAACCTCTTTTTAATAACACTTTAAATCGTTTTCGGTTTTGGCTGAAGTACATATTGGGCATCTTAAACCGCGTCCTTTAATATCGATCGATATTATATATATTTCATCTTTTCTGTGCCCCTTGCCGCCATTTGCACTTGTTTGCGCTTTTTAGTTGGATCAAAATTTGAACCGTCAAATCCATGCGTGTCCAGAAATATTCATGTGTGAAAGTTAAAAGACGAGTCGTCTTTTTTGAGACACTGCCATAAAAGACATCTATAAAAATAGGTAAAGAAATTCCTAGTTTGAGACTATTTTCAAAAATTGAAGACTCAAATCAACCTCCAGTGTGGCAGCTGTCCCTTTAAGGTCTACTTAATTTGAAAACACAAATCAAATCATTAATGTAGTAACTTGAACACATTAAGTCAATGTTCTATATAGTGTACATAATATGTTCAGATACAACATGAAAATGTAAAATAACATAATATTTTGTGTTCTTATATTAACAGTGGGAAGAGTGGTTTATTTAATGAAGTCAAGTTACCTTTTATCTTTATCAAATTGATTATCCCACATATATTTCTATAAATAGAAAAAGCACTTTATACCTAACGGATCTCAAGGTGCTTCAAATTTCTTTACAATAGTATTTTGACTTCGGACACTTTCTCGTGCATGTGTGGTGGGTGGGATAATTTAGCAAAGCAGTAAACCAGCGTATATATATATATATATATATTAAAAAGATAGATTTGCGAAGCAAGTTGACATACGCCCACCATCAGCATTGATTGCATGTACAAATCATTGTTTTCCATTCACATTTGGTTCATGTTTAGTCTATAGAGAATTTTAAGCAAACTTTATTGTATCGCATCATGACTAGTTTTTAACGCATGTCTTGATTCTTGCAAATAAACAGTAGATTGTGGTTAAAAATATATGTATCTGAAAGATAAAGAATTGTGAATATTGAACACACTGCAAACAATAAAATCAATTCTTTACCCAAATATATGACTAAATTCGATATGTTTACAAACAAACAAAATCCAACAGAATACATCAAGAAATGTAGTCTGTAGTGTTCTCAGCCCAAATGTGAATGGACAGACTGAAGACAATATTAGTCCATACTACATGTGGGCATATAAAAATCAAAACAATCCATGAAGAATTATTGCCTGTAGAGTGAGCACTTGTTGGACAATATAACTAATAGAGTGAAACGTCAAGTCAGACACGATATTTCAGGGAAAAATTATCAGATCATCACGAAAATCAAAAGGGATCATCTTCATAATGACATTGACCCACAATATAAAAATCAAAAGGATCCATAACGAATTGTTGCCTGTAGCTCACTGTACAATATAGCTAATATAGTGAAACGTCAAGTCAGACACGATATTTCAGGGAAAAATTATCAGATCATCACGAAAATCAAAAGGGATCATCTTCATAATGACATTGACCCACAATATAAAAATCAAAAGGATCCATAAAGAATTGTTGCCTGTAGAGTGAGCACGAGTTGCAAAATACAGTTGATATAGTGAAAACGTTAAGGCGGACACGATATTTCGGTGAAAAATGATCAGATCAACACGAAAATCAATAGTGATCATCTTCATAATGACATTGACTTAAAAAATCAAAATAAAAGAATCTGTTAAGAATGGTAGCCCGCAGAGTGAGAACGAGCCAAATGTGAACGGACTGCCAGGATGGTTACAATATATGCCCAAAATATATATCTAAAAAGGTAATTTCGAATATGAAAGTTGATTGAAAACAAAAGTAGCTGAAGACATTAGCGATACCGCTGTATCTAGTTGTCGTAAATCACACATTCATAAAATTTCCCAATTGGCGTTAACAAAAAAGGCCCGAATTCCATCTGGGTCTGCAATTTTAGATTTTATAGCATTGATTTCAAGAAATCGGTTGAAAAATAACAGCTGTAACCGTTTCAATATTTGGTGGCAGGTGCAATAACAGCTTTTCTTTTCTTCAGAAAGCACTAAAAATCTAACTTAATCTTCAGTTTTCTGTAAATTCTTAAACATATGGTTCATGTGAACAAATATAAACATTGTCAGACGAAGACTTGGACAAGTCCACACAGAGAGATGTAATCATACAAAAATATCGTGTAATCATCAAAATTTAATGAATGAATATTTTACAAATGAATTACATTATTATATACATATTTAAGAATGATATAGCCGATTGACTTCAAACCTTGCTGTCTTGTTACATTACAGGCATAAACAACTTCAATCATGACAGCTAAGAGCACATCCCATCTTATGAAAAAGACAGCTATTCAAAGGACATCTTTTTTCAAAGAGGATTTTCTGCTTAAAACTGTATCAAGACTAAAATCTCCAATCAATTTGCTGACAAAAATCGAAATCAGTTCAGCCAAGGGAAGTTACTCTGGAATAGTTAGTTAAAACTGCCTAAAATAGAACTCATCTGGCATCAGTTTGTCTCTTTTCCTGTAATATTAACTGCCAGTGTTTTATTTTTTGTAATGGAGAAGTAACTTTAAAATAATATGAGCTCTTTCTCACATTGAACACGGTCTATAAGATTTTGTTTCTACTGTATAGTTATATTTGGTTTTTCCAAATACTGCAAATACAGAAGTTCATGGAACTCCCACCCATAGGCTGAGGTGATATTGAACTCTTCTTTCAAACTATACCATAAATATTTCCAAATACAGCCTGTAAATTGTCCACACAGTCACTTTAACAGATACACTTAACCTCAAAGGTCAACCCCTAACCTCTAAGATCATTATTTTTTCCTATTTGATGGTCTATCAAAATTTTGTTTCATACCACCCCCTTTACTGGAATGAAATTTCATATTTTGTACCGTATCAGCCATCCATGGTGAGTCAAATTGAGAAGTATCTTGATCTAGTAAATGGGTATATTTTGTTCTTCCTGAACGACCAAAGTTCTTGACCTGAAATGAATAAATATAAAACACATTTTATCAATTGAAAAGGAATCTCAAGAATTCTGTTGTATAGTTATTACACCTGTGTATCTACAACGATCAAACCAAAAACCAAGCAATTGCAAAAAAAGGGTTTCTGGATAGACCAATTACAAACAGTTGTACCTAATGGCCTAAATATACAGCATGACAATCAAATTATACCTTTTGTTGCCACCTACAATTCTACAGCTATAAATGCCTCTGTGATTGTCAAACGCTTGTATAAAAACTTCAGGGCGAATTCTCAAACATCTGTACTAAACGTTTGGTGACTGCTTACAAAAGGAATAAAAATCTGAGTAATGTTCTTGTCCATGATAGATTAGATCTCCTTTCAATAACTCCCTGTAACAATCGCTTTGCATTTCTGAATAATTTGTTTATCTTGTAAATCTCTCCAGAAGTCAGTAATTTCCTGTCAAATTGATGTATTCGAATGCTGAAATCCACATTCCCTACATGTGAACAAGACCAGTTCTTCTATAAGAGATTATCTCTTACAAAACCAGGTAAGTCCACTGATGAATATATATTCTTATTGGCCAAGTTTTGAGAATTGAAATTTCATGTTCAATACAAGAACGTAATTTGCGGCTGGAATTAATGAATTAGGACCCAGTTAGACGAGAAGTCCCTGTTTGCCGGATATCTACAGATTTACTGAAAAATATGTACTGAAGCACGCCAGCCCAAGAAGCTGTTGGCCAGGAAGCCAACATGACAGACCAACAAAAACCTCTTAAAACTGAGGTCAAAGTCCATGTTCAAAAGGGCAAATATTTCAACTTGGGTAAACAAGCCAGCTTAGCTTACATATAACCAGGATTTACAATGATAACAGGGGTGATTTTTGTTATTTTTTCTTTAATGAATAAAATTTTTATTTCTGTCCTAAACTTAATTAGAAACACCTGCTCTGAGAAAACTGTAAAGAGTAAAACTGTAAAGTGTAAAACTGTAAAGTGTAAAACTGTAAAGTGTAAAACTGTAAAGTGTAGACATATGTTAAATGTATCTAATTTCAAAGTGCTTGTAATAAGGTTTTCTAAAATGTTCCTGTATATCTAAGACACTGATACCATCAATTTACACCATTCAAATTAAAAATCAGGCAACTGTGGTTGTAAAATTCCACTAAAACTAAGTATTAAATGACGTCACTCTCACAAAAGCATCTAATACTATATTAGACCCTTTGCGATGCTGAAACAATTAGGTTTCATGGAATTACAAGAACCACATATGTTTAAAGAAAATTGGAATGATGCAAATCAAATCATTTTCAAATCAATACTATCAGTGCACTGGATACACAAAAAATTTAGAAAACCTTTTTACAATCCCTTTAAATCCATCTGTATTCTATTCCTAAAAAAAACAATTTCATGTTATAATAAAAAGATACATTATCAAGGCTGAAGGGTAATATATTGTGTTAAGGTAATAGATACAAATACACAAACCTGCATGACTTTTGGAAGGATTGTTTTATCAAAATGATCTTCTAATGTTGGTGCTGAATAATCTCTTTTTAAGACATCCTTGTCCTCATCCTAAAAAGAAATAGTATCAACATCAAATTATACTCCATACATACAACGCAAACACAAACTTCAACCCATCATTATCAGATTTAAAGGATTGACTAAACCATTTACAAAGTGGCATTAGGTGTTCAAATAAACATTCTAGTGCAGAAAAGTAGGACGTAAAACTCCATTCATTTCATTTCAAATAAACATTCCACCAACAAATATATGTAGCTACCATAAGGTTAAAAAATCCATCAAATATTGAGACGATAACTAATATTGGCACGATATAACACTGAATATGGCATGAGATGATACATGTATCCTAACGCAAGGTTGTGTATCGAAACTTAACAATACCTCTCAGTCTATAAAAGGGAAATTTTTATAAGTCTGCGAATCAATGTATCATGATACGACAAGCCACAATACATGTATAGCGATGTTGTGTATTGAGACTCAACAATACCTCTCATTCCATAAAATGGGGGATTTTTTTTTAAGTCAATGAATGGAATCACAACTTGTTCTCACTGACATATATGATAACTATTCATAAACAGTGGACATTAACAATTCATGACAACTACATTATCAAATATCACAGTTATTATTAAGTTAAATATTCAAATAAATATTACCATTTTGAGATAAAGTGTTAATTTTTACCCCATATCACAATATATATGGTATCTTGATAAGGGTTTAATTTAGATTCACAAATTTATCACACAGAATTTCACTGTTGGCTAATCAATTTATTAAATATTTTTGTAGCAATTTTAAATTTTCCAGTTGTAGACTTAAGATTGATCTTATCAATGACGTTGAAGGTTATAGTGATTACTGAAAGCTATCAGATATTTCGAAATTTGTCAGGGTATATTTATGGAAAATATACAATTTGATTTAAATCGCATATAATCTTCAATTTTGGCTGATCAAAACAAAAAACCATGCTTACCATATAGAAAGCACCTCTGTGATAATATTTCTGTAAAAACTTGTATTTGCCTTTTGCGCCCTTATTAACTACCATCTTGGGATTAGCTCTTCTTTCTGCTAACCTTTCTTCTTCAGTCATATTTCTTATTCTTTCTACTTCCAGTTTCTCTTTCTCATACCTAAAATATACATTAAACTTTACAGAATACTCTTTAAAGAACACATAACAATTTACAGAATACAGAACACTTTACAGAACACATAACAATTCACAGAACACATAACACTTTACATCATACATGTACATGAAATTTATAGAATACATGACAATTTACAGAATACATGACGCTTTACAACATACATAACACTTTACAGAATTCATAACACTTTACAACATTCATGTACATGACACTTTACAGAATACATGACACTTTACAACATACATGAATTTTACAGAATACATGAAACAATGCAGAATACACATATAGAAGACCTATACAGAATACATAAAATTTCAAAGAGAAATACAAAATACATAACTTTCACAGGATACAAATACAGAATACATAAATACATTTATAGTTGGTAAATCATACAAGGATTAGATAATCTATATGAGTTCAATATTTCATGTCAGATCATGAATGATAAGTTGAGTCCAACAAAAAAAAAAAAAAAACTTAAACTGCCATTTTGAAAATACTGCAGTAAAAGACACTCCCATTGTAATAAGGGTGGATGGAAATATAGCTCAGTCCAAAAAAACAAGAATTTTTTTTATGACACTTACGCTTCTCTTTCGTCACGGTTACGCTTTAATCTTTTAAATTCTCGTACTTTCCAGGCTTCATATTCTTCTTCATCATTTTCACCCTCTGAATTCATGGCATCGCAGGCATCTTGTGTAGCTTTGAGTGCTTCAAATTCTTTCTTAGCCTCATTTTCTACCATCTTCAAAAAATAAGTAGATTTGGAAACATTTAGAAAATTCTAGATACTAGCAAGATACGTCCATTTCCTGATGAACTTTCAGTATATCAAGGACAGCGCCAATCTGTGTCAAACCTACCAAAAATCTAACTTGTTGATTTCGACCAACAAACAAAATTTCATAAAATTCCAACATAAACTTTCAACTCACAAGCCACATTTAACATAATTTCACTTTTGAAATTTGTTGTATCAAGTACTAACTTGTCCAAGATCTTGTTAAATAAACCTACATAGCAAATATGATAAAAATTGTGGCCATTATGGCATTTATAAGTGACATTTAACATATTTCAGTTTATCAAGAGTTGAAACTATGTTATCATGTGTATAATCGTAGCCGATGTTTATAGTTAACTTAATATTACCTTTAATGTCTGTCTGCGTCTGTCTTCTGCTAATTTCTTATTTTCAACTTCTAATTCTCGTTGTTTTATTTCTTCCCTTTCTTTTTCTTGAATTGTGATTCTGTCACGCCTGTAGGAATAAAATTCATTTTAAAGTCACTGAGCTCCAGTCATCTTTTTGACACCTCTCAACCTTTTCAATAGAAAAGACATGTAATAGATAGTGAAATATCTAGTTTAAGATATTTTTTGAAGGAATTATGTGATTTTGGTACATTGATATTACTGCTGAAAACTATTTACATATATTCAAGAACCAAATCAACCCCCCAAAATGGTGCATCTGTCCCTTTTATACAAGAAAGTGAAAAAATATGATTAGACTTACTTTCTGACAAACACTGGTTTGAGTCTTGGTCCAACCTCCTCTTCTGAATCTGTGTATTCTTCATATTCAGATGATTCTTCTTCACTTTCCCCATCTGATTTCTCTTCTTCTACATCCATTACTTCCTGTATAATAAATAGGAGAGATTGACAGTGAATTCATTTATATTACCCAATGTATGCAAAAACTCATACTATTAGTCATTTCACAGAGGAGCTGCAGTGGCTCAGTGAGTTATTTAATGTACCTCATCTTCACGTTTCTGTTTAGCTCTTTGTCTCAATAAATTTCTTCTTCTTTCAAATTCTTCATCATCAATTTCTTCTTCTTCTTCACTAGACTCTTCCTCATCTTTACGATATCTTCTCTCTCGTTCATCTTCTGACATCTGATCAACAACTTCAGGTTCAACCACTTCACGTCGATGACGTGCAACTCTAAATAACAGAACCGGTTAAATAGCAATTAGGGGGTGAAAGATGACACAGGGTAGACTCTTGGAAGTACTCTCAGCGACACGAGAATTTTTCTTCACCTTATCGCCTAGCAGACGACAATCCAACTCGTTACAGAGCTATTCAACTGCCACTTGATTTGCTAGATAAACTAGGATCCAAAGTTTCCATTGATTGTCATGGAGGAATGTGTAGAATGCAAACCCTGTGTTTTTCAGATTGTAGAGCAGCTATCCTGGCAAAACTGAGTGACACAATAACCATTCATAAGAAAAGTTGTAATAAAACTGTAACTATACCTGTCATCATCATCACTTTCATATTGTTCTCTCTCTTGTAATCTCCGTAATCTTCTATCAGATATATCACCTTCAGTAGTCTCGATTTCTTTACTGGGTGCTGTGGTACGTTCAAATGCAAACTGTTCTTCTTCTTCTTCACTGCTACTATCTGGAGCATATTCTGGTCTTTTTCCAGTAACATATCGATTGACTTTCACTTTTTCTGTTGTTAACTCTCCTGTAATATGAACAACAGGAATGAAATGGACTACAAGTAATTAAAACTAAAATATTGAATCAAATTCTATTTAATCAAATGCTTGCTTAATAATTTCAACATTTACATTGAGCTCAGAATTGAATTTTATCTCACATTTCACAAATTTCCAAAATATGATTTTCAATTGTATGCTAGGTTTATTACATGAACACATCGATCACCCTCCCAATTTCCTGTGAAATTATCCCACATTTTGGACTTAAAAATCAGATTTTCAAATAATATGTTCAATGGTTGTAATTTTCATCAACCCATAAACAATCTCTCAGTAGCCTACTATTTTGAAGTTGATACAGTCAAGTAACCTAATTTCATGGAAGCCTATTTTTTGTGGATTTCCGGAAATGATTAATTATTTACATGTGCGACCTCGCGTGACCTCTGCATTTGCTTGTTTTGATAATGAATTCAGTAGTTTCAAGCATGGTAAAATTATTAATGTATACTTTGACAAATACAAAATGGCAGATTTCAGTTATTACCAAACATCACCATTTTTTATCGGCAGAATTTCCTTATAATCCCAAGCAGTAATCGGAATTCCAAGTGTCGTCTGCTAGAATGTAGTCCAACGAATGAAGTCACGTGATCAACTAGCAGATTCCGTGTCAGCAGGAAATTTCCATGGAACACAAAGTGGACCATATTCTTATGTTGTTTCAATGACCTTTATCAATAAATCACGCTATGTATCTTATTTTGTCAGTAACTATTTTTTTTTTTAAATCGTGGTTCTTTGAAGGAATTGTCACTAGTTATAATGAATTGATATTAAAGATAAAATACTAAGAGAAATTAATTATACCACCCGGTATTTATACAACGTGTTTTTCTAGACTTATTTATAAATCAAACATTATACACGAAAATAGGTGACACATTCTGCCGCCAATGGTTGCTCATGAAATATGGGTCAAAGTGAAGGATTCATAAAGAAAAGCGAAATAAACCAATTTTAATTATTTTGTAGAATATCTGAGGAAATATCTAAGACATAAAAAAAAAATTTGTTCTTTTAAATTTGACGAAATTCGGTGTTGAATCCTTATATCCACGAAAATAGGTTACACCACTGTATATTTTAAATTCACACATACCGGTATTAATAATTGGCAAAAGTCAATTCTTTAGACATTGTACACATTGTAGGTATCAAATGCTGCAATTAAGTTTTTTCTGTAGGTGATTTATGTCATAAATGTGAACAGTTACCTTTTTTATTTTTAAGAGTAATAGCACCAGCAGTTGACTGAATTGGTATCTTGGTGGTTGCCATGTTGACTGATGTATGGTCTTGTGATTCACTAAATTAATATCTGAAAATGGTTGAAAGAAAACACAATATTTAATGTTGAAAAATATAGAAATTTACACTAGATATATCAATTAAATCAAGTAGGAACCTAACACATCATGTGGTTGACGCTGTAGTGTTTGGTTCGCATTTCACACACACCAAAAAATTGTTGTAAGGTTTTATATTTACTAATACTATCTTCTAATTTGCAACAGATCGTCAGCTTGTTGATTAATTTCTAAAACTATATGTATTTATTATAGAAACTTTGCATATAAACCTAAGTTTTACCTCTAATATTACAAGAAATTTCTATTTTTACATTGTTTGAAAATTTTCCAAGATGTTGGATTGAGTTATCTGCACTTGGTTCCGAACATAATAGGTTGAGCGTGAAAAGAAACGAAATATTTCTTGTTATTACTTAATATAATTCATTACTGTTCAATTTCAATAGGGATATTCTTTGAATTTGACATATTTAGATAACCTGTCTATGTAGATGTACGAATAGCTGAAAACCTTAGATTGTCGATCAAAGATTATTATAGTAGGCCTATAGATCATATAAACTATTTTATTTATAATTCTTAGTCGCTTTTTTAATAGGCAATTTATATAGGTAAGCTTGGGCTATATGATATTTTTATCGATGCATTGGGTAGGCCTAATTACGGAAACTTTACCGTTTTTCTTGTTTTCGAAATAATGAGAAACATGTATGTATTCGAAGCTACGACAAATGGAACCTCCACATATTAGGCCTACAGAACCGAAACCGTTGGGTGATAGAGGGGGATATTTTTCTTTTCAATGATCGGCAAATTTTTTTTTGAATAACCCCGTTCCCTAAATTATAAAAATAAGTTCACCAAATACAAGTTCGCAAGCCAATTCAAAATCTTTCTTGCGATTTAATTACTTTAGAAAAGGTGTACTTAGGATAAAACAAAGTTTTGAATAAAAGTTGATATAATATGTCACTTGTCAGCTTCATTGAAATATACCTTTAATATCGACATTTCTTTTAGTTTGAGTGAACCTTGGCCCTGGCCACTGAAGCAATGACGAAGAGTCAATTGAGAAATTTATGCTATTTTCGGAGATATTTTAGTTTAATAAAAGGATAGTGATTATTTAAAATTTCAAAATACTTTCCAAAATTTACCAATGATTCTGTCTATATAATATAAAATAACGTCTAAAAAACCTTCTGCAGAAGAATGGTTTAAAAGGGGAAATTAGATTGAGATTTCTCGTTCCCATTCCGCCATAAATATGTTCGCATAACTTCGCGTGAAACGATTGCAGTACCAGAAGTTTAATGGTACACTTTTCCATCTGTCAAAGTCTGGCATGGTTCAACAAGTTCAAAATCACCGATAAGCGCTAAATATATTTTTAAAACCCGACAAGACCCGGCACGTTTCTACATCAGCCAACATAAATCCAAAAAAATCAAAAAAAAAAAAAAAAACCCCGAAAAATAAAAAAAACAAAACAAAAATAAAACAAACTTGTTTGACAATGAAATCCTGTCGGCATCACGATAATCTTGTCGTGGAAGCGTGCAAGATTTAATCAAGATTCGAATCGAAAACAAAAATCGGCTACCAAGACTAATTCGTGTGCACTTTTTTCGCATTATTTTTGCGTCATTTCTCACAAATTAAAAGTTTGTTATCTCTGATATATACAACGTAAACACTTTTTACCCAAGTATAATGCACAAATTTTGATCCAGAAAGCATATTGTTTTACCGTCTGAGTGGAGATATTCTGAAATCGGTTTAGATGTTTATTGATCAGATACCATAGGACAGACATTGCCTGAGCCAATATGCAGGGATCTGACAGTTGGTGGTCATTTTTGATACCAGCACAGACATTGTATAAGCCGATATGCCGAGATCTGACAGATGATGGTCATTTTTTATACTAAGGCAGACACTGTCTGAGCCGATATGCCGAGATCCGGCAACTGATGGCCCGATTGGGTGATAATAAACAGTTTCACCAAGTTTCGTCAAAATCTGTCAAGGATTGGACCTTCTAGAATGTTTACGAGCTAAAAATTGAATACGTTCTCAAGCACAGGGGCAGTAACTCCTACTAGATATTTTTTTTGATTCTTCCGACTTTTGACAGGGTTCATACTTGGGTGATTACGAACACTCACACCAAGTTTTTTCAAGAATTGTGTCTTACGAGTAATTGTTGACGGACGGACGGACAGACATGGGTGACGGCAATATACACCTCCCCCCCCCCCCCCCCATTTCATGTGGGTGTATAAAATATAGAGTTTCCACATCAGCTGATAACTGTCAAAATATCTATTAGAGGATTGGATGTTAAGTATAAGTGGGTTTCTACATCAGTTGTCAAAATATCTATCATAGGCTGGTAGGTATCAGAGACTTTCTACACCAGCTGATAACTGTCAATATATCTATCCGAGACTGGTAAAATGCAACAATTTTCTACATCAGCCGATAACTGTCAAAATATCTATCATAGGCTGGTAAGTATCAGAGAGTTTCTACATCCATCTATAACTTTCAAAATATCCATTAGAGGCTGGTAAGTATCAGAGAGTTTCTACACCAGCTGATAACTGTCAAAATGTCTATTAGAGGCTGGGTTGTTAAGTATCAGCAGGTTTCTACTGTCAAAATATCTGTCAAAGACTGGTAACCTTCAAATTATTTATAAGAGGCTGACAAGGCTAACCAAATTCGAGTTACCCATCCTATTGATTCTGTAACATCGTTTTTATCAATTGTGTAATTTGGGAAGGGTTGGTATTGTTCCCAAATTTTCTGTCGTCTGTACACCCACCTAAGGTCAATGTTCTCATGTTCATTTTTGGGGATTACTTCTGACTAATTTGCAGTGAAGTCCATCCTACGGCTCCATAAATAGATGTAATGCAAACGTATAGTATCTCTACTTGTTTTGGGATAGTTGGTTATTGTATTTACTTTGTTTGTTTGTAAGTGCATTAAGGAATTTTGAGAACTTGCCAGAATACACCAAAAGAGCGACAAATTAGCCGAGAACAACCCAGTCCATGGCAAACAAAGACGTTGTTACATTAAAGGCTATGCAGTAAGTGAATCATAAAGAAAATTGTTTGGTTTGGCCTATCGATCGAGACTATTCCATTTTATATTTGATTGGAGTCCTCTGTCTTGGATTATTTAACTACCCCAAATTCAAGCGTATGTTTGTTCATTTTGAAACAAAAGTTTCAAGGAGTACATATAACCACTATAAGTTAATGTTAAATTTATTCAACGTGCAGTACATTTTAATTTAAGTGATACCCTTATTCCAGCGATTAAGAAGATACTTATTGGAAATATGGAGAGATCTTTGGTACCAAGATTAGATGATGATCATTTCTTTGATGATTTCTTTAAAGAAATGAACCGATCAGCAATGAGACAGCATCACGACTTGAGAAACGCCATGATTCGTTTATCACCAAGAGATCCTATTGGCGATATAGATAGAGAAATAGACGAACATATTAGACAACTAAGACACCCACTTGTCACCCGACCTGATGGTACCGAAGCTTTGGATTTAAAGATTGATCTTAGCCACTACAAACCAGAGGAGATCCATATCAGAACTGTCGGTCACGAACTCAGTGTTCATGCCAAGCACGAAGACAAAACCGACCATTCATCTGTGTATCAAGAATATTCCCGCAAATTTTCACTTCCAGCTCACGTGGATCCAGAGCACGTGCAGTCCAGCCTGTCAAGAGATGGAATATTGAGGATTACGGGAGCAGTTGATAAGTCTTTAGAACCACCATCAAAAAAGGTTGCCATAGAACACAAGAAGAAGTAAAGGACGCAGTAAATAAAGATGTAAATGGAATTGTTGTTTTCTTAATAAATAGGAACTATCTTGATTTATTGATAATCTGTAGAGGATAAAACTATTCACAGAGTGACTTGGGTGTCAGCTACGTGTCACGTAATGCGTAATCGATACTTGGATCAACTGTTCTAACATAAAATAATTAAAGAATATTATCTTGAAATTAATTATACCAGACGTAAAGAGGTAAATTGGTTTTTTTTTAGCCTATTCCAATTTCAGCAAAATGTAACAAATTGTAAACTTCAAATATTTAAAATGAATGCATTTTTTAATCTTCAAAGATAAAAATTTATGAAAATTTAACCGATTTAGTAAACCGTTTCATTATTTAACTGTTAAGACTGAAAATTCGACATAGCATTTGCCTACAATTAATAAAAATGAATTGATGATAACGGAGGTTAGATTTCATCCCAATTTTTCAAACCTATATTAAAGCGTCATTAATTGTAGGCGAACACAACGTCAAATTTTCAGTCCGTAGTTAGGCCTACAAGGATCAAATTTATTCATACCAAACAGTTCCCATATCGAGGATATTTTTTTTTGTATCGGTCTGTCGTATCAGAGGTATGATATCGCTTGTTTATGTACTCTTAGTGTTTTAAGATAGGCAGCAATTAGATGATATACGTTACTTGTATAGCATTCCTATTCAATAAATGATTTTGATGTATTCACTGTAATAACAACGCCTATTTACCCACTGCCTTATTTAGATTATGTAGTTTGTTTACTTTTATTAGTCATATAAGAATAAAGGTGTGACATTATATAGTTATTTCTGTCTCATCCGTAGGCCTTCTTGTAATTTTCAATGCACATCGTGAGCACGTTAAATAAAGATTATATCAAATTGGTAAACTCAGTTCCAGTGTGGTATCATGAGCAGCCCCTGCCTCGTTACCGAGTGGGGAAAGAGGAAAAAAAATAACTGAAATGGATTTTTACGCCTCACTTTTCTGTATCTGTTTGGGTTACTGAGGACGGACAACGCCATGCAGTGTGCTAAGGGAGAGATTTTGCCAGGACTGTGGAATCAGCCATTTTTTCGATCTTAAACGTGCACGCCAGTAGCACACGGGGCCTCGGCTTTTGGAAAGAAAAAAATATAAACACCATCTTAGGTTCACGAGGAGCCCATACCATTATCTAAGTCAGATTTCTAGGCATTGACCATTCAGAGATTATCTCCACCCAATTTAGCCAATTGAAATTGCATGAGTGACGAGAAAATTTAAGGTAGGAACGACAATTATTAGCTTTCAACGTTTGAGGATGTCGATGATCGATCTGTATTTTTAACTGTGTGTTAGTCCTAAACATCTGTGAACGTTGTCTGCTGGAGTAGGGTCGTAATCTGTGAGTTCTCTTAAACATATTTATTTACTTCGAATTCACCAAAACCTGACGCTAGGGCATCATCTTTACCTTTATTTTACCTTTACCGTTGATGCGTACGTAGTATTTGGTGTCCGATGAAAGATTAGTTTCGTTACAAATAAACTTTGATCGAACCACAGTCGTGACATAAATGGTGTACGGTGTAAGTATATAAATGAATATGTCTTAAACACGTTAAGAGAGTTGGAAAAAAGATGTTTTGGGGTCCTTCTCCATCCGAACACTGTCAAAGTAGCTATAGAGGCAGGTGTTTCGGACTCACTGTAGCACACTTCCAATTCCGTGTGACTCTTAAAAGGCGACACCTCCACGTGTAATAATATACCGTACCCTTCTACAACACCTAGTATGATATCTATTTGCACCAATCCTTGCTTTCAAGCTTTCAAAGATAAAAACATGGATGAGAGTTGTTTCCCTTTAAACTTAAAATTGTCACGGAAATTTATTTTACAATCATGTTCGTTTGTTTCCAACCTCAAATCATCAAATGACATTTATTCTTCAAACATATGGCGGTCTGTCCCTTTAAAAAAAAATCAAATCGAATCGTGAGAAGAAACAATGAATCCATAGGGGAAGGGTCGAGTTAGTAGCGGCTCTGTTTTCACAGAGATCAACCGTCGAGGTTGAGATTCAACATGTAGCAGCATGGAGCGCGGAAGAGCAAGCCTCCATGTCTGTGAGATTACCCCAAGAAATTGTTTGAATTCTTACATAATATTTTAAAGCAAAAGCGAACAAAAATCCCATTTATCTAGGGCTTCAATTGCCCCCGCCCTCCGATCTGTAACCCCACTGGCGCCGTTACTGTTTCGAGTAGAGGCCATAACAGTGTCAGACTGTCAGCACCATATATTTATTAAAGGACTTAATGATAAGAAATTTACATTTCGTGAGATGCAAAGGTTTGTAAATTGAACACAATTTGTCGCAGTGATCTAATCAACGTTAAAAAAATTGCTAAGCTTGTCGTAGATGCCGATAGCGTGTTTTGTAGGGTAACAGATTTAAAATAGATAACAATTATAATAATAAAATTATTTAATTTTCAATATAATATAATCAATATAATTCAACAAATGTTCATCTAAAAAGTAATAAAAAATAACAATTTTAAGAATTACAAAATATATACAATAGTTGGAGTATATGTAGAATAGCAAAACATATCAATAAAAATCCCCTTTTCAAGAGTGATGAAAAATAACCATTGATCATAATGATAAATCATTAACGAAACTATACGTACGGTCCTTACAAAAAAATAACATACACGAACGTAGTTTACAACCATTTTGAATCTCTTACTCGACTAAATAAGTCGAATTTTAAAAGTTTAAAGCTATGATATTTCAACTAAGCCTGTAAATGACATTTTAAGGGTTAGTACTGGTTTAAAGTGTGATTTAAAGGCTTTGTTGAAACATTGTAGCATTTAAAAAAAATATTAAGTCGAAGAAGTGATTCAAAGTGGTCGTGAACTACGTTCGTGTGTGTTTGTTCAGTGTAAGAACCATCCATAATTTCGTATAAATGAAAACATGTGGTAAAAAGGTCACTGTCTATACGCACAATTCAAGTAGAGCAGATTATTAAAGGAATACTAGACATTTACTTCAAATTCTCAAACTGGACCAGTAAGAGTATATATTTTCATCAGTGGATTTACATGGTTTCATAAAATTAAAGGGATACTACGTCTTAAAATGAACATAAAATTTTTAAATTTTAAACTTGACCAATTAGAGCATATATTCATCAGTAGAAATAACATAACATTACCTTTATTTAATCTAATAAATCCAAAAATTTAATAATTACCCATAAAAATGCAATTAACTATTGAAAAACGCTTAATATTAAGATTAATTTTCCAATTTTCCAGATTTTACAGAGATTCTGTTGTAACTTGTTGACACCAGGTAAGTTCACTGATGAATATATACTCATATTGACCATTCTTGAGAACTTAAATTTTATGTTCATTCTAAGACGTTGTATCACAACAGAATATCTGCATAATATGATGGATCCATAAAACTAAAAAAATAATTAATAAAGCTTAGTTTGAGAATTAAAAGGTAGGCCTAATGGTCATTCTAAGTAGAATAAATAATTAATGAAACACTTGATATTAACTACTTTAGCTATCTAAACTAAAATAGCTATCTACATGTACATAATATTCTGTTCTCCCTTTCAGACAGTTACGCTCTACCAGGTACGATCCTAAACAAAATAAGAACAGTCTACTTAATTTTGAGGTAGCTTAGGCATTAAACAAAAACGGTGTACCTTTAATGATTGCAACATTTCCGTAATAGACTGCTCTATTATATGGGAAGAGGTGTGATCCGATTTTGAAATCATTTGGAATAAGAAAATGCTCGTATTATCTTCTGAAATTTAACAAGCTTAATTAACAAGGAAAACAAATCATCAGGATTATCATTGAATGTAATGACTTAATTAAAATAGTCGTGACTCAATTTATACTGTGAAATTCAAATGAGATTGTGCTTTAATGAAGATTTAATCCTACTCAATATAGCAATCTTATATTATGAATAAAAAATTTGATGAGCAAAAATTTAGTATAATACTATAAAATATACACTTTTAAAGCATATAGAAATTGCTGCCCTGAATCGAACGACATTATCTCATATTCAAATGAACTTGACTCATATCATATACATGTATATGTGATAATCAACCTTCAGGCATCTCCGATCCTCTCAGAGTATTGTCAAGATTCATGGAATGAACACGAACTTCAGTCTTATTCAAAGAACATCGCACATCAGTGTGATCTTCAAAGAGATAATATCGTTAATAAAATGATATGGTTTGATGCCTTTAGAACATTGACCATTTAGTATCTTCTATAACGGATTGGTACACTTTTCCAGTTAAATTTGTACACCAGCCTTTCTGTTGATATCCTCGACATCAACCCATTTTTGTAATAATGCCTGAAATATAAAAGGTATGGTGTAACAGATGACGCAGATGAGGTCGCGACGAAGCCATAGGACTGTCACAATCAGATCAATGCTTTCAATGATCGGTGTATGAGGATTTTAAGACCATTTCACAATATTATGAGCATGCGTTGTGGATCAGGTAGGGAACTTGTGGTTTTAAAACAAACTTGCGCATATTGCGCTTCTACAGAGCTGTCACATTTCAAATTCAACCTCGAAAGTTGTTCCTAATTGAGTCTGTCTGCCCTCTATTTGTACGCCCAGTTTCGACAAGCTGACGTTGCTATTGTATTGCTTGCAATATATATTTTATACATATTATTATATTGCTACAAAATATAATTGCAATCACATTAACCTACCTTATTGCTCTGCTTAATTTCTCAAAGTTCATGTCATTCTTTCCCTTTTTGGCTCCCCACCTCCTACTGAATGCAACAGTATCATCGAATTTAAATGTTCCCTCCCTTTCATCTTGCCACGAGATCAGTTTTTGGTTTTTATCTTTCAATGTTTCAAGAATAAATTTCCATAGTAAGTTCTTTTTAGCACCTAAATAAAGATAATTCCAAACACATTATAAAATAGTCTTGTCTACAAAAGCATAAACAATTTAGAGCTTTACAGATATTCTTAATTCTTCTGTGCGATTCACAGAAGTCTGGTTTTGTCACACAAATGGAATCCATCTGATTATAATGCAAATATTGATGTTTCGTGAGAGTTTCTCAAATCATAGATGGCTTTAATTGTATCTCAAATTCTCACATGTAAATGCTTAAGCTGTAGAAGAATCGTTTTTTCATTTATTGCTTTCTGTAAAATTAAAATAATTTTTGCATACCTCTGTTAGATTTACAGTAAGGCTTGGAATCAATATCATCATCTTCGTAAAATACTTCGTTAGAAATGCATAATTTACTTTCATAGATGCAGTCAAATCTTGGAATATTACTTTCATCATTATAGCCGGAGTCAGCTGAAGATTATATTTAGAATAATATTAAAAAAAGCCAATCTTAGATGTCTTCTATATCCTATGCGTTAAAGGGATTGTAAAGAGGTTACCTAAAAAAATGTACGTTAATCGGGGACACTGAAAGGACCAATTTGCACCATTCAAGTGTTCAACCTGTATGAAAAAAGCGCAAAGCTGAACCCGAGATATGTCTTTTAATTTCTTAGTGTATTCGTTCTGGGTAGGGATGACGGACAGCATATGGCAAAATATGAAAATAATATGTGTAAACATTACTTACTAGAGGATCTAGGACTGTTGCCATAACAATTAGAATCTTCACTATCTACAGAACGGTCGCGATCAAGGAAATCGAGATCTTCATGTTGTAACATCACTGCAATAGATATATACAAAGTATATAAGTTGATTGATTGTGATGAAACGGAAATATAGATAGGACATTATACAGTATATATCTTTTTTTTATCTCTTTCTTATCCTTTTTTATGTATCCATGGTGATGATATCCGAAAATTAAGAATATATTTAAGTGATAATGATAAAGGAACAAATAGCAATGGTGGGGTTCATATACTAAGAAAAATCAGTTACAGTCCATCCTCAATTAGAAGCTGTGAATTGTTTCGGATGATGATGAATGACGATGATGATTATGATGATGATGATGATGATGATGGTAGAGGTGAATGCATTTCAAATTGCTATTATAAATTGTTGACAAAAATTCTGTTGAATTGAAAAACTTGTTTAAATGTTTATTATGTTCGCACACGTATGTATGTATTTTATAGCATTGTCTCAAAGAAATTAAGAATGAATAGATAGCGCTAATCATGATATAGCTAATCATGACAGTGCTAATCTTGATATAGCTGATAAATTTGATAGCCAGTAATCATGATATCTAATCTTGATAATGCTATTTATGAATCAGATAATCTTGGCAATGCTAATCTACATTTTGCAAATACTTTAGATCCCAATATGTACTAACCACTTTCGTTGTCAGAATCAACTTCCTCTTGTTTTATCATAAAAGCTTCCGGGTTCTCAAAATTCAGCATGCTGCTAACAGGTGATTCACTTTGAAGTATCAATTCTTGTATAGCCGGATCCAGCACAGTATCAGTTGGTTCTAAAAATAACACGTTTTATTAAGATTTTCAGGATGTTCGAATCTGACAAAAGATTTTCATGGTTTATCTTGGGCAGTTCTAGTCGTTTTACAGACCAAATCAATTAAAATTCATTTAATTACTTTTCTTTTATGTTTTGAAACATGAAAATATGAATCCCTAGCCACTAAAGAATCAAATAAAAAAATAATAAAACCGGAAACGAAGCAAAAAAATCATATACAAACAAACAACCAAAAACGAAACGAAAATATTTTTATTTGATGAAATAATAATGAGTTATCCCTTACCAAAGTCATAACAACTACCATCCAAAAGAGAAGGATCAACCGCGTCTGAAAATATGCACAGAAAACTTTTATTTGGGAATTCCGTGATGAAGCAGTGATAGCGAAGGCCTTAATTTCAACCAATCGCAAATAGCTTTCACGCCAATATAAATTATAGCCTATCCATGAGTCAGTATCCTTTTATCAACATGGAAATTCCCATTTGCTAATTGCCAGTATCTCAACTATCATAAGGATTGGTTGAACCAAGTCCACGGACCCCCATCCCTAAGGGGCATCAGCCCAAGGACATTATTATGTCCGTATTGAAAAGAAAATGATGACTTCAGAATGCAGGAGAGCATAATATGTGAAAACCAACTTAAGTCTAAGGGTTCAAGTCATCAAGATGAGCCACTGCAAATTCCTTCAGCACTGTATATTAATCTTTGCTAATTTCCCATGGTAACTAGAACCAGGACAACCCTTGTCATTTCTCTGTTTTTACAGAGACACATAATTACTTGATAATGTCTTTCAACATCCTTTCGGTTTGCTCTTAGGAAGTAAAGTTCAATCTGCAGAACGGTGATAGTGAAAGTGGAAGTAGGAAATTAACCCCTCAGTTTTGTTCAGGGAGAATTATTAATTTACCTCTCAATAGACTTGAAAAATTGTCATCTTGTGGAATATTCGGGGTATAGTTCCCGCCATCAAAATATTGCCAATTATATGACGTAATGTGGCCCTGAAAAATGGCAGAATTATATATAGTAGCTTTCTGTTTTGCGTGACGCGGTTAAAATGGAATATTCATGCACATAAACAACAAGGAAGATTGATAAGAAAATAGGGTTTAGTTTCATTTTCATAGCTAAACATCACGCTGGTACACCCACAATATTTTCGATACCACGATATCAAAAGGAAATGTGATATTGACTCCCAACCCCCCACTTTCAATTTTTTTTAACATATTACATAGTAAAGGAATAGCCTATGGCCCCCTAAAAAATTGTGTCCCCTACTCACCCCTCACGTAAATTTCCAAGAGACGCCACTGAGTGGACGCAATTTTGAAACCTGCCCTGCATTTAGTTCTGTCAAGTCGAGAGTCTCCAAGATGAAAAACGTTAAAGCCAACAATCGGCTTGTTCTGTACAAAAAAAAAACATATGCTGCTCCGTAGTGTTTTGCCAACAGGGCGCAGGGCTGGTTGGACTATATGATGAACGATAAGACGTCGTTTCGGCACAAATATTTTAAGCATAAGACAGTTTGACACGGCATTCTAGGCACACTTCTTACAGGCACATGTTGTACACAACTCAGTGATGGCTACACACTATTAGGCACACCGATATTCGGCATTTCGTCATTTAGGTATCGAGTCTTACTTGTGCTTAAAGTATTCGTGTCTATATGACAGTGACCCGTTGTGGAAGGTGAACAGGCCCTGCCCCGCGTGTGACACCACTGTTATAATGTTATTGCACTTCCACAACACCCGATGTAACTCAGACTGAGAAAGTCCCCACGAAACAACATCTTTATAATATGTAATATAAATACTTACATAGTGATAATTCTGGTTTAAAGTAGCTACCGCCATTGTTTGTTGTTCCTGAAATATTTCAAATAAATTTTGATTTGGAAACGTTTAAAATATAGCGCGTTACATAGGGTAAAGTAATAACAATGCAGGCCAGTTCAGTACGTAAAATCCAGGATATTTATAATGCTAGTTTCATTTTACAATTTATTGTTTACTGTTATTAGAGCTAGTAGGCCCACATGATATTGATATTTTAAGGTTACACTGCTGGGCTGTATGTAATTAATATAGTATAAATTTTACATAACGAAATATGTCGTTCGTGTAAGGAGTTGAAAGCTGGCGTATGGCCCAACCTCGAAAGCACTGGTCGTGGCATCCTGGCCTAGCCAGGTTTACGTCCAAAGGGGGCAAAATATCTGAGATTGCCCGAATTTCGAATCTATTAATGACATTTTTGCCCGAAAAACTTGTTTTAGGGACTGTGTGGGGGGGGGGGGATGTCGGCTGCCCCCTGTGCTCCGTTTGCCTCCGCCTCTGATCCGAATCTGTAGTCCAGGCATCCGAATCTTTCTTCTCATGAGTAGGATTTGAGCCCATGGGACTCAATAGTGTTTGAGTCAGATAATCAAAACACATGCTTACAACACTTGTTTTACACCCCAATGAGGGAGTGATCCTTTTTTATGAACTTCATTTGGTTATAACTTGCATCGGATTTAAAAACAACTTTCACTTTTAATTTCAGTTTGATAATGCCTTAATTCTATGTAAAGAGTTAAATATGCCAAGTAAATCAAAGCCTACCCCTACTTTAAAATAATATGTTTCCTTCCATGCAATGAGTCTAATTGAATTTGTAAATATGTATGTATGATTGAACGTGATGGGAAAAATATGGGTTTCCCCGTTATACTCATTTCCATCTGATATTTATGTGAAGTTTTATAATAATAATTTCTTTATTGGGCAAACAAGTTGAACTATTTATATAGTATATTATGATGTTTGGTTCCCCTGCACTGGCTTGTATTGAGATTCTAAATTATAAAACCTTACGGACAATCATTGAAGTAGGCCTGCTATATTATCAAACCCGAACGATATAATATTTAGAAATAGCTTTCATTATTAGGTTTTTTTATTCATAATAAAAATACTATGGTTAATCTTGACAAAAGGCGCGATCTTTTATATATAATCTATGGGATTTTCCCATATAAAACTATTCAATTTCTTGGAAAAGATCGACTTTAAGAATAAGCGGTCGTCTTCAAGGTCATTCATTTTGTAGATTTTTTTTGTGTTCTATGGCATGTCGACCTGCACTGTGGGCTACAGTCATGCTACATAACACGAGTTAAACGCATACATAATATTAATTCGGCTGTTTTATAAACTGACGAGACAGACAAGGCCAGAGGTGTAGAGAGAATTTCATTGACGTGAGGGCCATCCAAGCATCTACTTGTGGATTTTAAAGGGCGCAAGTCATGGTGGGGTGTTTTCTAATGTGGAATTCCGGAGAATGTATCTAACGCGATTTTGGAAATGAATGTAGGATAGTAGAATAACTACTTTCATTTTTTTGTGAGGGAGGGGGAGGGGGGGGGGGACGACGGCCCAAAAATCATCGCCTTTATACGCCACTGGACAAGACACCCTTCGCTATGCCTATACAATAATATTGTTAGCGGGTCAGCGTTCTAAAAGATGAGGTACTGCACCTAGTGTGTACGGTGTACCTTCTTCTATGCTCTTCTATAATCGAGTATCCCACATTGTACACCGCGTCGTATTCAGTATCTATGTCCTTTTCATAATAATAAACATCTTAATAATTCCTCTACGCGCTCTACCAGCTGTTTAAGAGAGTTAAAAACTATCTTTCTTACTTTAAAGGATATATTCTGATGAGACAGACTAAATTCTAACCGAAATCGGTGAAATCAATATTCAGATGTCATATTCTTTATTATTTTAGTCCTTCAACGCTATACACCTGCCTCTACCATAAACAGGGTGTTAAATAACGGACAGAATTTTATGGTATACTACTCCTTAGTTTTATTACACACACCTTTCAACAATCTACATTGTCATCTTCAGTGTGATCTCTACCCCTAAATGTCTCTAAAGGATTATAAACATGATGATGCAAGACTTTATAGTAAGTTATTAGAATGTTCCTTCTTGATAAAAAGATGGTTAAAGTTATGAATATTTTACTATCTAATGTTTACTAATAAAGTATTCTTTATATGTATAAAATAAATCCTCAAACGCCGTAGTCCACAGCGGAACTGCCGCATTGGTACGCCTTCATTGCGGAAACTTAATGTCGTGCGTGGAATTATCTGATGTTTCACATTATAGGGGTTACAATTGATAATTATATGCTAAGACTTGTTTACAAATACGCCAAATCTGAGCAAACTTAGGTGATATATTTAACACAATATAGGGTTGTTAAAACAATAAGTGGTATACATATTATGTAAATTCAGTTGCACACAATAGGTTCGAAATACGATGCGAACGTAGTTTTTATGGCCCAAAACATATCGAATTCTCTTAATATAACAGCACATGATAGCACGTGCCAAGCAGAAAATAGGTTCTAAGAGAAATATGATTTCAGGGATTGTTATCATTATAGCTGTGCAGTCATGATTAGGTTTACCACAATTGTCAAATTCTATCAGATAACAGTAAGTTGTGGTATTTACCACAATAATGTATAAAAATAGCAACAAATGAATTAAGCATATAAATACATTCAATTTCAAGGATTCACCGACCGCAATAAACGGAAATTTGCCTTGAACTTATCGCGCTTCCCAGGGAAATGATCAATAAGCACAATTGTGATATGTGCCACTCCTCGACTTCAATAGAGCAATAAACCAAAAATAAGTTTTATTAAACGCTGCATTGACTGTATTCAATAAGTGTTCACGGACAAAACGTATCAAGACATCAATGTATTAAAAACTTTCAAAATACATGTACTTTGAATTACCAGCAAAAACGCAACTTGAAACAATAATCAATAAAATTATGAAGAAAAATTTATATTTCAAATAATTTCTACATGTGGTATACATGTGTAATTATACATATAATTGAGTCATTTTAAGTACTCAAATAGGAGAGGTGATTCTACGAAATCGAGAACTAGAAAAAGTACCCTGACCTTTCGCATGCCTGAGAGGGTATGGGGGCATGGCCAAATGGCAGACTCTCTAAATAGGCTACACCAATACCATTGATACATTCTCCCATACATCGTGAAGGTAACCTTGTGGCTTTTGGAATCTGAGTAACGGCCAAGGCTCTCTCTACATGCGAACAGACGAGATGTGGGGTCCGGTGATGTATTCGGTGCAGTATTTCACTTTAACAATTGTGTTTGGCTAAGCTAAAAAAAAATTGGTCAAACGGATGGCGAATCTGTCCCTTTAAGTTACATCTTCATTATTAGCAATTAAACGGACTGTTTATTTCCTGAAGTTCAAATTGTGATTTCATTTCCCCTCTCTTATCTAAAACCGACATTCGTTTAAGTGTTGACATAGTGTTTTTTTGTTGTTTACGTAAAGATATGTAACGTATTATCATACAATGTATAATGTACATCATAGGGTATAACAGATTTGTTTGTTTACACTGAAGTGTAATAAAAAAAAATATATTATATAACAGGATAAACCTATGCCGTTCTATCTAACCCGATGTCATCTTCGAAATACGATGCGAACGTAGTTTTTATAGCCCAAAACATATCGAATTCTCTTAATATAACAGCACATGATAGCACGTGCCAAGCAGAAAATAGGTTCTAAGAGAAATATGATTTCAGGGATTGTTATCATTATAGCTGTGCAGTCATAATTAGGTTTACCACAATTGTCAAATTCTATCAGATAGCACGTGCCAAGCGAAAAATATATCAATATTAACTTACGTGTTATAATACAGTACGCAAAAGGTATACCAAAACGCTCCGTGCTATGCAGTAAAACTATAAGTCAAATTTTGAAGTGTCTTCAATAAAATTTCTTGGCAAAGTGAGATCTTCAAATTTAGAATCTGATTTTAAATGTGTGGGACTATTTATATGATTTCCCACTAATAGTTCACCAAGGTCATTGAAAATTCTCCGAGAATAGACGGATATGGGTCAAATTATGTCATTACTTGAATAGTGTAATATATATAGTTAGTGTAATGCAGCGTGTCACACACGTATTCACCCAGGTAGCCGCTCATAGTAAACACAGCTGATATTACGTTAAAGGTATAGGCCTACTACCTCTTAAGATGATCAAAAAATCAAATTTTTAACACTTGGCCAAAATGCGTCTTGTTGATCAGTGGACTTACCTGGTACTATACAACAGAATCTGTCTATAATCCAATAATTAACATTAAGTAATAATTCGTTAAACTAAACAATTTGGATACATACGTAGGACTATTAGAAGCGTGTTTCAATAATTATTTAGTTAAACTGATATATTGTCTTACAAAGAGATTCTAATATTTAGTCATGGTTCCTTGTAAATCTAACTGATGAATATACATTTGTGTTGACCAAGTTGGAGACTTCAAATTTTACGTCCATTCTAAGAGTTAGTATTCCATTAAAAGTCTCTGCCACCTTAAGCTACATAAACAAACATATTCTTTAAATTGATTTGTCTAAAGAAGGAGGGTAACGCCATGCATTCCGCAATGAGAGAAATTTCACAACGCTATCGACCCATTATATCTATTGCGTATTCCACATGATGACTACCTCGATTGGAGAACCATCAATAACTCATTAAATATTTTAGATTTGTTTTGATTTTCGAAAGGTTTCATTCTTGGGTGACAATAAACCATTTTACGTTTTGTCAAAATCCATCAATAAATGTGCCCTCCAGAGTGTTCATGAACAAGGGCAATAATTCATATTAAACATATTTCGATTTTTAAGATTTTGAATAGGGTTAATGGTTACACTAGATTTCGTCAAAATCTGTCAAGAATTGAGCCCTCTAGAGTGTTTT